TGGCTTACTTAGTGTGACAACCTCCAGGTCCATCCATGTTACTGCAAATGGCATTATTTTATTATTTTTTAAGGCTGAATAGTATTCCATTGTGTGTGTATATATATATGTATGTATGTATGTTTGTATGTATGTATGTATGTATGTATGTATGTATATATATATCACAACTCCTTTATCCAGTCATCTGTCAAAGAACATTTAGGTTGCTTCCATGTATTGGCAATTGTAAATAGTGTCACTATGAACATTGGGGTGCATGTGTCTTTTCAAATTAGAGTTTCCTCTGGATATATGCCCTGGAGTGGGATTGCTAGATCATAGGGTAAATCTATTTTCAGTTTTTTAAGGAATCTGCATACTATTTCCATAATGGTTGCACCAAACTACATTCCCACCAACAGTGTAGGTGGGTTCCCTTTTCTCCACACCTTCTCCAGCATTTATCGTTTGTGAACTTTTTAATGGTGGCCATTCTGACTGGTGTGAGGTGATAGTTTTGATTTGCAATTCTCTGCTAATTAGCAATATTGAGCATTTTCACCAGTCTTACAGTTTTCATAGTGCAGGTCTTTTACCTTTTTAGTTAGATTTATTTCTAGGTATTTTATTCTTTTTGATGTGATTATAAATGGAATTATTTTCTTAATTTCTCTTTTTGATAGCTCACTGTTAGTATACAGAAATACAGTAGACTTCTGTATATTAATTCGGCATCCTGCAGCCTTACAAAATTCACTGACAAACTCTAGTAGTTTTCTGGTGGCATCTTAAGATTTTCTACGTATAGTATCATGTCATCAGCAAACAGTGACAATTTCACTTCTTCCTTTCCAATTTGGATTACTTTTGTTTATTTTTCTTGACTGATTGCTGTGACTAGGACAACAAATAGTATGTTGACTAAAAGTGGCAAGAGTGGGCATCCTTGTTTTGTTCCTGATGTTAGAGGAAATGCTTTAAACTTTTCACCATTGAGTGTGATGTTAGCTATACGCTTGTCATATATGGTCTTTATGATGTTGAAGTATGTCCTCTTGTATGTTCTCTCTTTACCCAATTTGTTGAGAGTTTTTATTAGAAATGGATGTTGAATTTTGTCAAAAGGTATCTCTGCATCTATTGAGATGACAATATTTTTATTCTTTGATTTGTTAATGTAGTGTATCACATCGACTGATTTGTAGATATTGTAAGATTTTTGCACTCCTGGGATAAAACCCACTTAATCATGGGGTATGATTCTTTTAATGTATTGTTGGATTCAATCTGCTAGTATTTTTGAGGCTTTCTGCATCTATGTTCATCAGTGATACTAGTCTGTAGTTTTTCTTTTGTGATATCTTTGGTATCAGAATGGCTCATAGCATGCATACAGAAGCATTCCTTCCTCTGCAATTTTTGAAATGGTTTGAGAAGGATAGGCATTAACTCTCCTCTAAATGTTTGGCATAAATCATCTGTAAAACCATCTGATCCTGGACTTTTGTTTTTTGGAAGTTTTTAAAATTATTATTACTGATTCAATTTCATAAATGGTTAATATTTCCTGTTTATTTCTGGTTCAAACTTGGGAGTTTGTATGTTGCTAGGAATTTGTCCATTTCTTCTAGGTTGTCCATTTTTTGGTATATAATTGTTGATAGTAATCTCTTAAGATACCTTGCCCATTTTAAACCAAATTGTTTGGCTTTTTTGTTTGTTTTTGGTGTGTATGGTTCTTTATATAGTTTGGATATCAATCCCTTATCCAATATATGGTTTGCAAATATTTTCTCCCATTCTGTAGGTTGCTTCTTCATTTTATTGTTTCTTTTTATGTGCAGAAGTTCTCTGATGTATTCTTGCTAGTTGATTTTTACCTTTGCTGTTTAATATAATTTTTGGGATCTTCAGCCTTATATATAATATATACCTTCTGTCTGAACCATTACCCTCTCTCTGACCACTGTTTCTTCTAGATAACTCCTATCTACTTCATGTCCTCAACTTAAATATTAGTTTTTGAGGTAAGCTTTCCTTGACCATTATTACCAGGTCAGCTGCCAATGCTTAGTATTTCACATATCATAAATTTGACACAGTGGTACAATTTATTATTTAATTGTCAGTCTCTTTACACTATAAACTCAGAGGGCAGAGCCTCTGTCTTATTTCCTTTTTTTGTAATCTAGTCTCCTGGCACCTGCTCAATTCTCTTTGACTCATAAATAATAGCATTTACTGATAACAATAAAAAATCACTTGTCATTTGTCACACACTAGGCTAAATGCTGTGTATTCACTTATCTGGGAAGAAAGTATTTAAAAAGAGTAAGTAAAATTTCCAAGTTCCAGATTCATTAAGTGGAAAGGATAAGAATAAACACAAGATCACTTGTCCAATGTTGATACTCTGCCACTGCAATAGTTCTGAAATAATTCTGACTAAGTCCTAGGAAGGGATTTATTTTGGTGTTGAATTAAGTGCTTTCAAATTTGCTTTTTCCTATGAGGAACATTCATTATTTCTAAATGATATTTTTAGAAACCTTCCATTCTCTTCGTTGTACATTTTTGTTTAAAAGATACAATCAAATGATACTGATGTTTCTGTCGTCTTTTGACATGCTGTTTTTATCAAATAGTGAACTCCATCTTTCTCTTTATTCTGACCATAGCATTAAAAACAACATTTTGTACTGCTTATTATATTCCATGAATCAATACATCTTTGAATCATCTAACAATACTCTCTCTTGTTCAAACCACAGATTATTTTTAATGCAAATTAAATTATCTTACTTCCTACTGTTCTCTGTGTCTAGTCTAAGTGACATCATAAATTCTCTAAATGCTGACACAATTTTATCTCAGAAACATTACTGTTTCGGATTATCACAGTTTTGTTTTTAGGCTCCATCATTTTTTGATATGTATATATATTTCTAATTACTATTTTGTTATTTACTATTTTTTGATTAATTATGTTCTTGAGGTTATGTCCATTGTATCTATCTAACGGAAATACAATATATTGGTGTGCTACTGCACATCTCTTCACAACTTCATGTTTGGCAACATTATGTTGGGTAACCTAAGGTCAGCTATGGTGGGAATGTTACACCAGGGAAACCAGCAGAAAACACAATTATTGCTTGATTTACAGTTTGTTACTTGTATGGGCTTAAGAAAGTGAGGGACAAAATGTTAATAATCCCTATTAACTTAAAAGTGTATCTTATTTGCAGCCATTAAGTTGTAAATAGCACAAAAACTGAGGAAATACTCTAGTATTTGAAAACCGTTACCTATTTTAGCAAAAATGTTGCTCATGTCACTGATTAGTGAAATAAGTTTGATTAGTAAGATAAATGAAAACATACATTTTCATTGATAACAGCCTTTTCATCTTTTTCATTAAACTAGATAACAGCCACATTACAACGGAACTCATTTGTGAGGTGTTAATACATTTTATTGTGTTATTTATTCAGTTAATTACCTATAGAAAAAAATGTACCTATACATATAAACAGAAAATGTTACACACTGAGATAATTGACATCCCTGTTGAAACACATCTATTTATCCCTGGACACCAATTTAACACTAATTTTCCACAGAAGCAATGACATATTTTGTATTATTTCAGAATGCAATAAATAGGTCATATCATTCCATTGACTATGTTTATATGCAATAAGTGCACAATACTGGCATTTATCTTAACCTATACTTCTGGCTACCTTTTTACAATAACTTTCTACTGTATCTGTGCTTGATTCTTCTACTGGTAGTCTGCATCCCTTCTCTATAGTTCTATAGAGAACTATAGGCATTCTATAGTTCAACTCTCTTCTCCCAAATCACATGGGCTTGAAAATTAAAGATTTCATTTTACAGACACCCTTGGTACTAAGAAGTAAATGTTGCTTAGGTTCTTCTAATGAAATGTATTTGTACTACTGTTGGAATGCAGAAATGGAGGCAATGGTGTCAAGTTAAAGTGCTGATGAATGTGTCTGAAATAAGCTGACCTCATATCACACAGTCCTGCTACAGCTTCAAAGGGAGTTGTGGCATAAGCACCGGGATAGTGGGTGGAAGCAGCCAGTTTCTTATTTCTGTATCACAAGACTGATGATGTTATTTTAAAGTAAAAAATCCAGGAAGTCTTCTCACAACTCTGATTTCTCCTCATCCAAACATTTTTATTATTTGACATTTATTTTATTGTATTAAATCCCTTCTCTTTGAACATCTAGAAAATTTTCTATTTCCTGATCTGAGCCTTGACTGCCACACTAAGAATCTATCATTTTTAAAAATAAATAATAGAGTTTTAGAGAATATTCTGTGAATAACTGTCTCTAATTCTTAATGTATTAATATACAAAATCAAATATATTTGATGTTTGAAGATTTTTATTACAAATAATTTTGCTACCTCCTCTAGCAATTATAAGCTTACATCAGATGTCAGAAATAAAACATGATGAAAAGAGTTTTCCAGAAAAATGTTAATAAAGGAACATCTGATGAGAATTCCTTTAGGGAAAAATAAACAAGGTATTTGGAAAAGGATAAGCTAAAGAGAAGTACCTTGTAATTAAATATTAGGGAGCCATAGAGAATCTAGACTGGAAGAAGGCACAAAAGGATTAAAAAGGAAGAGAAATGAAATGTTCAGATATTTAGATCTGAAAGTATTCAAACTCCACATATCTGGACTATAGTTAAAATGTCTTGAGATCAACAGAGTTAGGACAAAAAGCATTTAAATTATCAGAAAATCCTAAAAATATTACTGAACCTCAGTCTGACTAATGAAGATAATTACAAATTCAGTGTAAAGACACTTGTTATATTTGCTATAAGCATCCATTCCTCCTTCTTCTGTTAACTGCATCCACATTTCTTTTGTGAAAACCACTCGCTTCCCTCCTCAGTGTATGTGAATAGGATAGGACTGAACTCACACACTGGGTACAGGACCAGACACATGATCTGATCTTTGTAGAGAAATTACTGAAGACCTTTGGCCATACATAAGCAGCTGGGGATTGTCCTGTGACACAGAGAAGTGAAAGCCCAGATATCTCTCTAATGTTTTTGTTAACTTTACATGTGGTGTAAGCTTGGGATTGCAGGTTTTATTATGTGGGTAACTCCAGACTGGAATAAACAATGATTCAGGAAGAAATAAATCAAATGCTTGGTTCTGTCACAGTATGAAGTCATTTAAGGTACTACATATCCTTGGTTGTACTGATTATTTTTTGCTTAAATTCTTTTGACCAGACTATTCCTTACAACAAAAAATCCTGACTAATCCATTTACTATTAAATAATTATAGACAACAGAGAAAACAACAGAGTCTGATGTTTCAAATACATTGAAACAAAGGATGAGAAAGGGAAAAAAATCTTTCTGAACAACAAATTCATGCCAGACACTAAAATCAAAAACACAGTTTTCACAACATTCCCATGAGAAAGATGACATTGGTAACTTTTTTTCTGAATGTAGTTAATAGGAATCAGAAATATACGTGGAGATAGAATTCAAACTTAGGTCTTTCGGATTTCAAATGCCTCACGGTTTAACATTGACATTTACTGTGACTAAATCCCTAGTAATTCTACACCAAGCCTGATAATATTTGACTGCTTCAAAGTTGATTGGCTAAAGTTTCTTTTTGCTTGATGACTTCCATTGAGAATAAATATCAATCTTCATTAGTATTCAGTATCAATTTTTATCAATAGTAACAGATTCCCAATAATAGAGCACATGGAATTTCAATAGCAGTTCACAAGATATTTGAAATAATGATCATACTAATTATAATTTGTGTCATGATTAAACAAAACAGTGTAGGTCCTCAAATATTATTTCATTTGAACTACATCCAAGGAACATAGTCATCATTCACACTAAAAAAAAAAAGGAAGCTATAAGTCCATTTTCTCTATAGTGAGCCCATTTTCTTTCTCATTTGTTACATAGTAGGTGGAAAATGGTTTAGTTACTGACAAGGAATAATTTCAGCTTGTACAGAAACACTCTAAATTAGCCAACAGAAGGGAATGATACCTACAAGCCAACAGTAGGGAAATATTTCTGTGCTATTTCAACTGACTGTTCTTCAATTAAAAATATTTTTTTTAAAAAAGAAGAAAATAATAATAAAAAAAATCAAACCGTTGAACCACCTCAAAAAAGAAAAAAACAGAAAAGTTCTTGATCTGGAGTACTATATATTCTAAATGTAAAATGTATATAAAAAATGCTTTAGAGAATGAAATATTATTGATCAAAATAAGAACACCTTCTATAAAATAAAACACATAAGCCTAAAGAAATGCATTTAGGAAATGTTTTCAAATGTTCTGAAGAGAAAGAAAAAAATAGTTCTTACTTAAATGGAATTGAAGAGATCAGAGTAAATCCCATTCCTAAATCATCTCTCAAACTACAGATTAAGTGACTGTGTAGAATTATTTG